AATCAACAAATGGGCCAAGGACATGAACAGACACTTCTCAGAGGAGGACATACAATCAATCAACAAGTACATGAAAAAATGCTCACCATCTCTAGCAATCAGAGAAATGCAAATTAAAACCAGCCTAAGATACCATCTCACTCCAGTAAGAATGGTAGCCATTATGAAGTCAAACAACAACAAGTGCTGGCGAGGATGTGAGAGAAAGGGTATACTTGTACATTGCTGGTGGGAATGCAAATTGGTGTGGCCAATTTGGAAAGCAGTATGGAGATTCCTCGGAAAGCTGGGAATGGAACTACCATTTGATCCTTCTCAATTTCCATTATGGCTTTAAAACACCTTTTAAATTCAGTATTCATTTAGTGAGCATCAATTATTTTAAAATCACTGTGCCGACTAGGGCAAGGGAATACAAAGGGATACAAAGATGATTAAGACATTTTCTTATGTTTTTAGCTGACTGTGATGACAGTCTTACAAGGACATACTAATCTCCAAATTTAAGTTGTAGAAATTAAGTATGTACTGATTTTTTTGTATATGACTTATACCTTAATGAAGTTTAAAAAGCACACAAAATCCCTGCCATTAAAGAATCTGATCCAATGAGGAGCTGCATACATAGATACAAACTAGAGGATTGTGACATATTTTCAGGTATTAACAAAGCTTTGGAGGCAAGGCATTTAGTCTATACTGGGAAATTCTAGGGAGATGTCACAGATAAAAGCAAATGAAATGTAAAGAAAAGACTTTAAAATGCTACTACTCAAGATTTATCTATCTTTGTATTTTTTAATATTTATTTTTTAGTTATGCACGGTAGGAGAGTGCTCTACCTCTGAGCCACAACCCTAGCCCCTATCTTTGTACTTTTAACATAGCCTAGCATGTTATTTATACACAATAGGTAAATAATATTTACAGAAAGAGAAAATTTTAAAGAGAAAAAATATCCAGCAATATCAGGTATACATGCAGGAGACAATATATATGCAGGGAACAAAATACATGCAGAGAACAAATATAGCTGAAGAATAATATGTATTCAGAGCAATGATATGACTTCAACAACAACAAAAATGAAGACAGATTATTTAAAGTCTTGAGTGCTATGAAATAAACTTAAATTTTATTCTGTAAATTAGGACTCTCAAAAGGTTTTGAATTTAAATCATTTTCATTTGAAAGACATCTGTGACAGAAATTGAAGAATAAAAGAACTGGAGACCACAGTCTCAGTTTTATAATTCATAAAATACAATGAATGTTATTGATCACCTATTCAATATTAGCTGTTGTGTAAATCTGCAGATACAAAGAGAGGAAATGGTACCAATCCACAAAGACATCACAATCTGCCGAAAATAGGTGCATATGTAAACTATTCTACTAAAAATATGATAATTATTATAAAACAGAACATATTT